TGGGAATGCGGCCAAAAACACACTTAACGAATCCAGCTATACGTAACGCCGACAAATAGCGACGGTAACAATGATAAACAGTGACAATGGACGTTATACAGTCGGGCTCGAGCTGCACTGTTCGCGAGTTACTTTATTTACATAGGTTTCCGTTTGAAATTTATTCGGTTAGTTCACCGATTCGAGTCGAATACGGACGATTTGCACACCTTCAACGCACTCCAGCGATTTTCACGGAAAAATGTACGAAACGTGGCGCGTGACGAGTATGATCAGTTCCCGAGAGTTGTTGTTTCCCTCTATTATCCGTCCGTTTATGAAGTAATAAAATCTGTTCTCTCGCGGTTTCAAGCGTCAACGGCGGGAGGGGTCTAATTGAAGAGGATAGATTAGGCAGAGACGGAACGAGAAGAAGTCTTATACGTTGTACAGTTCCGCATAATCGATACGCTCGGGGCACAATAGTTGCGGAAATAACTGAGGAGCACGTTCGATATAATCAGGCCCGCTTTCTCACAAGTTCGGTTAGGTCGATACCACCCGCGTGCGCGGCGGTACATTTATTAATATCTACAGAAATCCGTGGGCTTCGCGCCACTTCTCGCGGTGATCCCATGCGAAATTCGCGCAACTTCCGAACGGCATGGGAAGAGTGCTTGAATCTCGGCGGATGCGTCCGTAACGAACGAGCGCAATGCGATTAAGTTAATTGCCTCTTTAATTAGACGGCACACAAACTTATGCCGGGAGCCTCCTTCTCCACCACCGCCGCTACCTCTCTTTCCTCCTCCTCCTCTTCTTCCCTCTCCGCCTCATGGCGTCGCACAAATATTTAATTACAGCGTCACACGTGCGGGATTACTCGGATCTCCTTTGCATTCGCAGGACTGTGTGCTTAATATGGAGCAGGAATCACGCAGCATTCGCTGCTCGCTCGATCCTTCCCCGCATGCAGAGCGATAGCAAATGTTAGACTTGCTGCAATCGCGATCATCAAACCATCGTTTTCCGTGATGTGCGGTGTTGATAGTGCGGTAGAAAGTTCGAGGAATAACATCGGGATAAGTCTTCGCGCCGGATTCACGCGATAATTGAACAGCGAAGAAAAGGCCATCGGCGATAAAAGGATCGGTTACTAATGTAAACAGCGGAAAATAAACAGCGAGGGGATAAGTAGGATGTTGCCGTGGATCCAAGGGAGCATTTGATTGTGACCTTGCTGTTGTGAACATTTCAAGTATACATTAAGTCCTGTACTTATTATTATACTTTCGATTATGAAGGGGATGCTAAAGTCAATAGCGAATTTAATAAGCGTAAGAAACATAGGAACATAGGAACATTTTTCTAGGCAGAAATTCCTCCATTTTATCGTTCTTTGCAGAAAAATATCCGTATTTCGTCGAAGGGGATGCAAATCCCCTCAATTAATCTTAGTATCGGTCGATTTTACATTCAGTTTCAATAGTGATCCGACGCGCGGGTGACATCGCCGGGGCTCCGAATTTTAAGTACAATCGAGGGAAAGGCGAGCGCTTCGGCGTGTCATGCTCCGGAATCTCGTAGGCGACCATAGCAGAAGATGCCCGGGGTCGGGTATCGTTGATCCTGAAAGGAGACGAGACCCGGATCGAAATCGACCAGAGACGCCTCTCCCCTTCGCCCCTCTCCTCCTCTCTCGGGCAAATTAGATCTGTCGTGGAAATGAACGCGCGAATAGACGCACGGCGCTCGCTTACATACAACGTCGCGCTGTCGACGCGGAGGGTGGAAGTAACACGACAGCAGGAGATTCGACGTATCCGTTAATCCGTTCGGCTTAATGCGGAGAACCGGGAATGCAGGAACCCGGTAGGTCCAAAGGCGGCGAGAGAGAGAGACCCGCTTTCCCGCCGCTGCTGACCATTGGGGGGTAATTATCGGTAGCACGGGGAAAGCTCTCTCACGCTCAAATCCCTTCCGGCGGCTCGCGCTCCACGTCAATCCCCGACCTCCCCTTAAAGGTCAGCCCTGCATACCGTCGTAAGCGCGTGTACCGTACACGCAGCAATAACCGGTAATTTTTCTGCAGCCGAGATCCTTGCAGCGACGACCAATCGAGAAGCCCGACTCCGCCGCTACTCCTTTTCCTCTCCCCCTTCCCCGCACCTGCTCCTTCACCTCCTCGCCCCTTTCGCGCTGCAGGGGTGCGTGTCGCTCGGCGAGGACGATGTATAAACCGAGAGAGCCCTTCTTTCGCGAACGAGCGCGCGCGCATGCTCGAATGTGAGACGCAAAATAGAGTCAATTGTGAAAGCGACCTCACTCGACGAACGCCATCGATTTCTTTCTTTCTTTCTTCCTCTCTTTCTTCGAGGATCCTGGACGGAGAAGGGTTCGCGAACGGATTACCCGGGCAACTTTGCGATTTTCGATTCCTGCTTGGCGCCAACATCAAGAAAGATCAACGTCCGTCGCTGAGTTTTGAACGTCGATATATTTTTATAACTAATTCTCGAATGAAGAGATAAAAAAAATCCTTCGAAATCTAAGTGAAATTATGCAGGGAGAAAGATACTTCATCGTTTGCGCGCTTCGATGTATCTGAAACCCGTTATTTTGGATCGTTTGAAACTTAAGGAAAGATACTTCGTCGTTTGCGCGCTTCGATGTATCTGAAACCCGTTATTTTGGGTCGTTTGAAACTTAAAGACTTATTGTTAGAAAAGAGTCGGACGTGGTCCATAATTAGTATCCGTAATTGATCTCAGCTAATTGCTACAGCGTGCGTGGTGCTTATTTTATAGGTGAGCGGAAAGCAAATCAGCTGGGCTCTAAACGTCAGTATGAGCCGAGCCGAGCGCAAGTGAATAATGGACGACAGATCGCTACGCGTGTTTGCTAATTACAGGCCCGTAATTACGAAATCTACGCAATATCAGCGAAGGATTGCTCGATTGCTCGGAAACGCCTCGGAAACTATTGTGACCCCTGAACATTTTCGTGCCAGAACTTTCAATTCTCCGATTACAAGCAGCATGCGCGCTATTAAAATATTGCACATTACAATTACAGGGCATTCTGTGCAAATTATAATTTATATCGAAGCGATGAGTATTTACGCGGAGCTTCTCCCGTAAGCTTCGCTCGCAAAAATATCGCATAGAATCAATGTGCGTGTAAATATTCACAGCGCCGATATCAATATATTTTCGATCATCTACGTGACAAAACTTTATTATAGCTTATATTAAACTTTACTGTGCTCGACGATTACGAATTCGCAAAGTTAACGCGAGTTCGATCAAATGCGTGTTGTCGATCTAAAAATGCATTAGCGTGCAACGTCGCATAAGCTTCCGATATGTGGATACCAGCGCTTTCTCGAGGTTTCCTCGCGAACTGTCTCGGATTCCGCGCATGATACATGTCCCCTATTTTATCCATTGCTTCGAATTATTTGGTAAAAATCGAAATTTTGACGTGTACTTTTTATTTTGTTTCCTTTTCACGATTTATTATTCTCTCGTCTCACACTTTTCATAATTTTCCTTAGAATTCCCATTTCACGTGTTCTATGAGACATTTTATCCTTCTTTTATTTCAGTAATATAAAATCCGTCAGATATCAAAAAATTAAGAGACTAAAATTAAAGAAAAAGTTGTCGATATCAAAATATCGATTGTTATTTTAACAAAGGCAAACATGGCGTGTAAATTTTCTTTACGCGCTTAAGTGAGATTGCATGTCGGAGTCGGAGAGATCGTATTTAAAAATCGTGCTCAGCAATTTGGTTTCATTCGCCCCCATTCGTTCCACTAACTACAATGACGAAATGTAGAAAACAGTTATTAACGCGGCTCTGATATACAAGCGACATCGCTATTAGCATTAATCAGATTCGCTCCTTGATCTCTCTCGGCCGAGGGGGGAGCGGAGGGGAGAGATCGTTACCGAGGTATCCAAATTCATAAAAATCAGCTGCGCGGACATAAAGGGGTTAATAAATGCAGGTCGTTAGGTATGCTTTGCATTTGAAAATTAAGATCGTGTTATTATGTTCATTTAAATTCTTCTCAATATGTCGAGCACGTCGGAGCGCTAATCCGGCGTGACGGGATCACACAAAGCATAAAATCCAAAATTATACGCGATAACGCGGCGAATTCGCTCGGCGAAAGTTTCCGACTCGACCGCAAATTACGTTCCGCGCGCCGGGTTTTGTCACAAGGATCGAGCTATTTAAGTTCGGTCTGCACATCGCGAGGACCGCGGAAACGCCGTTTTACTGCGAGAGGGCGGCCGTTATTAATGATAAATAGACGGGATGTTGATAAGACGGAAACTAATTAGATCGTGGTGGTTGTCGACGATGTTTAAAATTCATGTGCCTATTGACCTTAGGGAGGAAGTTCAAAGAGGTGATATACCCACGGAGCACTGTGATTACCGGTGTCAAGAGCCCGCCACGGATAGAATGTATAATATGGGTTATGCTGCGAATCCCAGCGCATGGCCGAGCATAATAAAATCTAATCACATGAATGAGTCGTCGATAATTCCAACTGGTCCGGTTGTAATCTCTTTCGAAACGATGTCACTGATACATGTGTAATTAATATACTTGCTATTACACACACACACACACACACGCGCGCGCGCGCGCGCTTTCGAGATCCGGCTTTGTAGAAATTATTCGCTTCTACAGTTCGAACGGACCGGCGAGTTGAGGAAGAATTTATTCGGCGTCTCGTTGGAATAATTTAATCTTATGTACTTTGGTGTGTTTCCGACGGTCTTCGGTACACTCGGAGCTGACCATGCCTCCCTCGTGAGAGAATTTTTTATCGGATCAACATTGACTCTGGGTAGGACTTTTCTCGAAAGACAGTGCTGTGATATGCAAAGTGCGTCGTAGCACATTCTTTTATTAATACTTCGTACAATATTTCTAAAAAGAATGCTATATATATGTATATCGTAATATAATAAAATCCTTTAAATATACGTTTTTGCATAATCCTAAGAACGTGCCGCGGCAGAAACGAATTATGGTCAATTTAATCTAAGTTTGAAACACATAATGGCGAAAAATTAACAGTAGGTATTAACAATATTTATAACTCTTATAAAAAAAAATATACATATTCCGACGTCATATAATTCCCTTTTTCTTATTTTTCAACGATATATGAATAGCATTAATATTAAACCGTCCGACGAATGTTCTCCCGGGTTTTCCTCGGCATATTATTCGCGCACGCATTGAATCGAATACTTGTAGCCTAGGTTGACACCGTAAGAAGTTAGATCAATTAATCTTAATTCTGTTGCTTAGCGATAAATCTTAAATACTAGTTAAGATTAATCGTTCCGACTCCTTAACGGCGTCGTCAGTGTCTTATGCGGCGAAGAAATGGGGGTTGAATGTATCCCGATGTTCTCCTTGCCTTTCCAATGAGATCGCTTTTCCTCCGCTTTTAATTTTTCTATGGTCTTTTGTTGCTGTTCAACTAATCGGATCTTGGTGGACAATTCCTAAAAAGAAATCATTAGCGTTTCAATCAGAAATTCCGACGGTGGATACAGATGCGAAAGCACGAACAATATCACGTAACATGCAGTTATTTACAAACGTTGTAACGTTTGTAACATGGTTCAGTATCATGTGCTGCGTTTGGACAAATAAAAACAATGTAGGATATGCTTCGAGGCAAAAACATTTATTTCTTTCAACAAAACTAATAAGTACTCGAAGAAATAATATGTAACTGATTATTACTATATACATATATTATTTCTTTACATATATTATATAGAATATGGTAATTAAACAGTACATCAACAGGTAGTTCCCGTTGAAACTGAATAATGATCGGCATGATATTTGACAATCGTTCGTGTCGAACAATAATTTGCATGGTACTCGTGCTTGCAAACAATATCGCGTACGCGTAGCGTTTTTGTTTGTTCTTAATAGTAACACAGACGTAATGTCATTAAAATGTCCCACACATAATATAATGAAACAGCAAAAAGCAGAACGACGAGCCAACGCACCTGTTCCAATTGGTAGATCTTATCTTTTAGCTGAGCTACATGCTTGATTCTTTGCTTAGGGTTCTGATGGCCGATCATATCTGCATACTTTCCGCTGATTTCCTCGAAATCCCTTTTGAGGCGGCTGCTGAGTTCTGCGATTTTCTTGGCTTCCCTGTAAAGAAAATAATACACATTTTTTTCTTTCTCAAATTATAATCAAGAATCGTTTTTTGTGCTAATCAAAACGCACTCTTCAGCCTCTTCTCGTCGCGCCCTCTCCTCCTGGAGTTGTTGCTTAAGCGCATTCTCCAAAGTTTCCCACTTACTTTGCTCCTCCTTTAATAACAGGGCGACTTTCTGTAACGAGATATTTTATTTCTAAACACTGTTCATGCCCGAAGTTTAATCGTTATGAGTGTTGATATTTAATACAGATATTAAAAAAAAAAAATCGTTAATACTGATAGACAAATTCGAATTTTATTACCATTATTACAGTATATATAATTTTGTCAGAAATTGTACATACTTCCGCATATTTCTTATCATTTTCGAGCAGCTCGACTTTCTTAGAAAGCTCTCGTACACGAGAATTCATCTATAAATATTCCGTATATGGTTAATAGATACACATTGTGTTAGTAGATTCACACTCTGACTTATCTTTTCGATGTTACATTTAAGCACACATACCTCATCTATGGAGTTCTTACACTGCGTTGCTCGAACTTGAAGTAATTGGTTATTTTCTTCTAGCGTTTTTTCTTGGCTCCTTAATTGCTCCTTGAGCTTGCTATTCGTCAGCTCCAATCGTGAAACGTTGACCGCTTGCGCATCATTTCGCTCCTCCAATGTGAGCAGCAGTCCTTGCGCCTGATTAAGATTATTAGCCATTTCGCCGAGTTGTTTTTTCATCTGCAATTAAAATATAACAGGCTTATCGTAAATTCGTTTTTAGAAAAAAAAAAATAATAAGGAACTCTTAATATTTTCGCAAATCACGGAGTGCAATTCCCGAACTGAACGCGAGCGTAGAAAATTACCTCGTCGTTTTGAAGCGACTTCTTCTCGCAATCGTTCTGAAGTCGCGCAATTTCCTCCGCTGCTACGCGTTTCAGATTTTCGATTTTCACCTCGAAGATGGGTTTGATCGCCTCGAATTCGGAGAGACTGCCGGCCTCTAGCTGGTCTACCATTCCCCTCTGCGCGTCCAGCTCCTCCATGAACACGTGCACTTGTTCGTTCACCAATTGCGAGTTATTGCGCATCGTACTAAGTAGATCCTTGTGCTCGCGTATACAGTCTTCACCGCGTTCCAGTTCATGTTGCAGTCTCTCCACTTCAGCGTTGCTCTGCGCCAGGCGATTGGTGAGTGCGACGACGGACGCCTGATTTTCGGCCATTATCACCTCAAACCTAAACATTTCCAAGTATTCCATCATGGATGATCGCCCGATAAGACGAAACGGACGAAAAGTCAATCGCCGATACCGACCTCTTCCTTCTGGAGACCATTTCGGCCGCTTCCGTCCTGATGTGATCTTTCAGAGCTCTCAATTCCTCCTTCTTCTCCGCTAATTCGGCTTCCGCTTTATCTAACTCGGCCTGCAAACTTTGACTAAAGCTCTCCTGAAAGTCACAAATTCATCGTGTCACAACATCGCGTTACATGTGGTGCCATCAATTCTGACGTCACGACCGTCACCTGAGTTTCCGCGGACGATCTCAGCTCCTCGAGCGTCGCGGAGAGCTTGGTGATTTCGGCGTCCCTCTGCGAAAGTTTCTCATCTAATGCAGTACGCTCCGTTTCCATACGGGCCAGACACGCTTTGTATCTTTCGGCAGCAAGTCTCATCTCCTCCTCCACGGTGTTTCGCGCCTCCCTAATCATGGCGTTGACCTAAAACCCCTCCCCACTTTAGTATGCCGCAGGAACACCTTGAACCGTGATAGCGGAAAGCGAGAAATGTTCTCAAACATCACAGAAAGCGAATCAGAGAAAAGCGAAAAAGTGGCAACGTCTACTGAGGAGGAAGAAGGGCGCAGCACTCCGTTTCCCGCAAGATTCCCCCAGATGTGTTTTCACGCAAGTGTTAGAGGAAAACGAGCAATCAGTCAGTGATGTTTGGCATTTTACGCACGTGTGACCCGCTTACTTTCGCGTCGCATTCAACGATTGCTCTTTTCACCCGTTCTTCGCTCTCGGCACGACACGCCGCTAAAGTTTCCCTCGTAACGACCTTCGCGTTATCGATCATTTTCTGGGCATGTTCCGTCATCCGTTTTTTCTCCTCCTTCATCTTTCTCTCGGATGCTTGCTTCAAATAGTCCAACTCCTTATCCCGCGCCATTGAAACCTGCGTAAAGCGATGTGCGTTTAACGAACGCGTTAAAAATAATCGTGAAAGTCAGAAAAGTGAGGTTGGACCGTCATAATTGTCCGCTAAGCAATAGGCAAGACCGTCAAGACTGAAAGATTATTGATCGACCATAACATCACATTAATATTAATTTAACGACATATTTTTATATTTGTACGTTTAGTTTTACTATTTTAATCTTTTGTATTTAAATTGATATCAATCACGCGAATAAGGTCGAAACGATATAACCGAAACATATGTTTTTAATTTTAAATATGTTGCTACATTATTAAATGTTTATCGCAAATAATAATCAACGTTTGGCTCTTAGAGAGCTATCCTTTTTTTTTTCTTTCATGATTGCATTTCTTGAGAGTCTTTAAATATATTATCGTCAAAAATGTTCGCTATTATTGAAGTAACGATGAGTGATCTTGGATCACCACGTACATTTTCCAGTTCCTTCAAGTACTCTTCTTTGGTATCTTCCAATAATTGCTCCAGTTTGGATTTCTCTTCGGCATGCTGATTCCTCATGTCATCCAAATCTTTCTTATATTTCTCCACCATAAGAGCATGCTTACTGTTCGAGAGCTCCAGCTCTTTCTGAGCCTCGTACAAACGCTGAGACACCTGAAGCGTGAATAAAAAAAGATTTCGTGAATAATCGCATGATTGAACAAGACGTTCATAGTAATGAACGCGTAAAATACACGTGGACTATACGCACATCTTTGTAAAGTCTCTGAACGTCCTCCAATTCTTCCGTAAGGAAAGCATTTGTCTCTTCTACTTCGTGCACCTTCTCTTTCACGTACGATTTGAGCGTCTCGTTCGAGATTAGCAATTCTTCTCTCTCTTTGGCGAAGTTATCCCGCAGAGATTCAATTTCTTTCTCATGTTTGTCGGTGAGATCGGAAATTCGCTTGATCGATTCGTCAGCTAACTTCTCGTATTCGGCCTTAAGCTCGTCTAATTCGCACTGCAGAGTGGACAATTGACTCTGAAGTCGCAGGATAACGTTCTGTCGCTTCTCCAATTTAGCCTCGAGATTAGAGCACTCCTGCGTTAAGTCCATGACACACACATCGAGCTGGCGTTTTTCCTCGCTCAATGATTCAATTTCGGTGTCATGGCGATCATGCTCCATCTCGAGTGTATTCAGAAGTTCCGCGATGCGCATCTCCAGTTCCGCGATCTGTTGCAAAGAGAAAGAGACACGTGATTCCAGCACGGTGATCTACGTCACGCTTTTCGAGCGAAGACAGTTCAACTCACCCGCAATTTTTTCTGCTTCTTTTTGGCGCATAATCCAACTTCCAGTGTGGTTATTTTTTTCGACAGTTCGGTCGCGCGATTTCGAAGTTCCGACTCGATTGTCTTTCGCGCCGAGAATTCGCGCTCCCTCTCCTCGGACACTTCCAATAATTGCAAGCGAAGTATCCGCATTTCTCCTTCGTGTTTCTTGTCGCGATTATTCAGTACTTCTTGTTGCAGCTCGGCCTGCAAAAGTCGGGGAAAGAAGGATTAAAAATACAACGGGAAACTTGGCGACGACGCTCGGTCGATATCAGAAGTAGCTTCCGCTTAGAAATTTCTATTTAGACAAAAGAGAGTAAAGAAATGTATTAACCATTGTTTCTATATCCTTGGTATGCTTCTCCTCCGTCTCGATCTGCTTTTTGCTCAACTCCTCTACTTCGAGCAGCAATTTCATCACATCTTCCTTCATTTCCTCGATATATTTCTCCTGCTCCTGTATAGTCTTATCCTTGTTTGAACATTCCACTTGAAGGTCCGCGAGGTGCTGGGCGGACTCGTATTTCATGCTTTGACTTCGAATCAAATCAGTCGATTCGAACTTGCCTTTGGCCTTACAAGAAACCACTCCTGTCAATTTCCCACCCAACCGTTTCCGAGGCATCTGAGGCTGTATGTAAAAATACGATCAAGTGTGATTTAATATTCGATTTAGTTCGTAACGATGCATCTCGACGACATTCGACGACCACATTTCCGAAAATCTCGCGTGTTCTCATAAGCTTCGCATTGCTTCGCATCATTTGATAGGGGAGAAGGTGATATTATAGCCTTCCATTTCATTTTGTACAATAACTTTGTTAATAATTAATATTTTTAATTGGAAACGTAACGACGTGATTTAATCGATTCTAAATTCAAAGATGTGAAATAATTATGATGAATATTTATTTGCTCAGGACGTTATTTATAAATGAATATGATGATACAATATAATGGGTCGAAGAGGAGCAAGGAATAGATTTAGAATAGATTAAAAAAATTAGTTTTTCTTTAAACATAGTGCTTTGTTACAAACTTATATATTTATTCAAAATAAACTTTCTCTTAGGAGAAACAATCATAAATATATATATATATATATGAGTGTATTTTTTAATGTAGATACTGATTTATTCAGAAGGTAGATATAAACTGTCAGAAGAGCAGTTTCTACAAAATGAACAGAAACTCAATTTGAATTATTGAATTATCGAATAACTATTTCGATACGAAAATCTCGAAAAAGGAGCCATATTAAATCTGTTTTAGTGGAGAGCTACAATAGCAAAATGTGCCATGCTATTGTTTGACTTTGCACAACTCGAAATGCGTACAGTGACGTAAAATGTTAAATAACGAGAAGGAAATAACGCGAACGATCGCGTTGCAAAATGCTATGTGTTGATTAGTAAATTTTCCGTAAATATACGGATGGATAAATAAATAAATGGCAATTTTTATACCGAGCATTCCCGGTACAAATCAGTTACAATTCTTACCGTGCGAAAGGAGGGGATCGAGATGACTCCAAGGCTCTTCCCGGACACCGATGCGTTACATTCCGCGCTGCACACGCTCTTAGCTTCCAAGAATCTGTCGGATTTTTCGATCACGAGTCCCCTCACTTTATTATCAAATTTTGGATCATAAGCGCCTGGCGGAGGAGCCTCGCCTGAAAAGAAAAACCTTCGTGTGCGCGCGTTTTTTCCTCATAAAATGAAAGAAGAACAATAACGAGCGCGTTCAGCAGAACGTTTATCTTACAACTGTTGGAAATTTTATGCGTTGACATTGGATTATTCCTCCGGATCCAAGAGAACAATAAACAATTCAATCATTCAACAATGAACAATTCAATCTCGGGTAAGGAAAACTTCCGACAATCGCAAAAATAAACGTTCTGCTGAATGTAGGCTTTCGTAGAAACACGTCATCTCCGTCGGAAATCGCGGAAGCTATTTAAACGCAGACATCGACGCCTATTCTTAAATAATACATATCGCGCGCAATCGATCGATTGCGCGAGGACGGAGATAAAGGGGGGAAGACAAAGGAGACAAGGGGGGGGGGAAGGAACGGCGGGGCCAAATGGACTTCCTTTTGGCGCGCGTCCTACCATACACGGGGAGCGGGCGCAAATGGGGAGACAGCTGTTCTGAACACAGGGGACACATCTCTATAGGGTCGTGGAATAACCAGGTGTAGTCGGCAACGTTCCCGGCCACCCCATCCGTCGTTCTTCTCGTCGTCCTCGTGGGGTAAAACGTCCTCCTCCTCTTTTTATTTCGCGCTTCTCCTTTCCCCGCAGGGATCAATATATAAAATTTAAAGGGCCCCGCAACGCGGCGATATATAAGGATAAGATATGAGGAATAAGGAGTAAAATACGATATCGCCTGTCTCTCTCTCTCTCTCTCTTTCTCTCGCCTCTTGAACGTCCGTACGCGGCGGAGATACCACGACGAGTAAACAGAGGAAGGAAGAAGAATAACGAGTGCGAATCGGGAGGCCAACGCGACCAGATGGATCGGCGGACGTGTGGAGCGGGAATACGCCCGGCGTTATCAGAGCAACTCATTGACGTCGTAATCAGTTAAAATACGAGACGTGAGCAATGTAAACAAATATTTTCTTCTTCTTTTCATGTTTGCACGTCGCGTGTATCAAGCTGCTTTATCGAAAAATTTCGCAGATACGTGAAGCACGTGCAAATTATTATCCGACGCAGTTGTGAAAATTGTACCTTTCGCCGGTGTTCATAGTCGAACCTTACATTTAAAGTCATCTTAAATTCATCCACAGATACTGTACGGCTCATTAATTTGCTACAAAGCAGTCGAAAATGAATTTAAGGGGATTCTGGAGTAGCCCTGTTTTAATGAAAAATTCCTCAGTACTAAACTTGTTACTGACTGCACAGAATTGACAATTTTTTTGCATAATTATACACGTTAACGGTTGACTTTGTTCGGAGAATGAAAAAATTAACAAATTAAATAACTTTTTCGGTTTTCCAATGAAATCAACCGTACAGCAACCAGCAACGAGTACAGTACTAAGGAATTTGCAGCAAAACAGGACGACTCCAGGATCCCCTTAAAGCAACCTTAAATATGAGATCCGATTACGAATACGAGCATTATACGAGTGATTACATATGAGTGATTAAATACGAGAAAATATATAAACGAGGCCTGCAATTATTACATTCCTTATTTGGCAAAGATGCGAAACACGTCATAGTCGTATGACGCAACACGAGGAAAATATTGTAGTAAAAATTGCCGCAAAATTCTGTGATACAGGACTATACCGGAATTATGACTGAAATTATGTGCTGTAATCCTTAGTAACGTGTATATATGAAATACATCGCTGAAGATCACAATATACATCACAATTTCAGTCACAATTCCGGTAAGGTTTGGCATGCAAATATGCAGAAATAAAGCTCGCGATGATCGATAGACCGAAGCCGCTGGAACGTGGATTTGGTTTCCGAGTGTCGAGATTATCGCGGAGCAAAAATAGCAGAGAGAATCGGACGGTGGAAGTCGCATGTTTGTGTCAAACCGTGATTCGCCGTTGGAGGATTTTCCCGCCAACGCGTCGTGTATATCGTGCCAACTGTCCCGTCTATTGACGACCTCCGACCGATTGACCCCCGGGTCCCGTTGCAGGCGTGTAGAGAGCAGACGAGAGTACCGGGAGCGGAATTAATCAACCGAGCCGGTGCAACGCAACAGGTCTCCCTCTCTCTCTCTCTCGTCGTGTTAACGAGAACCGACTTACTTCCGATCTCATTGAAGCGTTGTATCTTCGCCTTGGAGAAGGACATGTCGCCGCCGTGTCTCAGCACTTTCAAGAATACCGGAACACGGTTGACTCCGCGAGCGAGAAACGTCAACAAGCCGCGCGGAGATGAGAGGATCCCGACGACGACCGGTTGGCACCACGTTCCTCCGTTCGAATTCTCCTCCGTCGTCCACCCTCCGCGACCTCTGCGCCCCGTTTACTCCCGAAGAAACCCGCGAACCGAAAGCCGCACGACCGCACGTCCAACACTGCACGCCTGCACAACCGCCTCGAGCTCTTGCTCCGCATCGGTTATATTTCGATTTAAAACGACGGTTACCCGACGGCCGCGTGCGCCGATTCGCGTGTGCACATTGCGTGAACAGCCAATCGCGCGAGTCGCTGACACAACGGCTCCCATCTGACGCCTCCGTCTCCGTCCTCCCCGCGATCCTCCGCGACGCTGGCGCTCTCTCCGTCTTTCTTACGCAATCTCGGTTTCTGCGGGATCTCCGCCACGGGCCGCCACCATCTTCGACGAGAACTCGCAGCCGTGGTACGAGTCAACGACGGGCCGGACGGCCATTTGCTTTCGAGTAATACGACCCGACGGCCGGTCAGGCGTCCCTTCTTTTCGCGTATACACAAATAGCGCGATTCGGTGATAAGTCGGGGGAATATTTTATTTTCGACCGGTGCGACGCGCGAGATGACGAGTTCCTTGCTCTTCGCAGCTTTCGAGATATATCGCAGGCGTAGCGCGTACTCGAAATAACAGTGGCACGTCAAATGCCACGTTGTATCGAGCAGACCAATAGGAAGCAGCGCGATATTGTCTGCACGATTACCAGTGACCGCTGATGCGTCGCCGGTAAGAGAGTTGTTTTCCTCCTGCTGGATCTTCAAATTTCTCCCTCGGCATATCACCCCTCCTCGAAGCCGTTCGCGATGAAGTACAAGCTCTACGTTACATTCCTGCTCTTTTCCATCTTATGCTTAAGCTATGTCGCCTGTCAGTATAGGACGAAAAACGTAAGGATCTCTCGCGGTACTTCGTTCATCGCTGAGCAGACAGATTGTTTCCTCCGTGTCTTCCTCTCGACAAATGTCATTATTTTCGCAGAATCAAGGCTCCTCCTTGGCGGAGCGCGTGCAACAATTGATGGAAATGGCTGTGAAAAGATCGGTGCTGAAATTCAACGGGCCGAAATTTAAACAGTACATCAAAGCCACTCCGAGGAATTACTCTGTCATAGTTATGTTTACCGCCATGGCACCTCAGAGGCAATGTCAGATTTGCAGGTAAACCTACAGATATTGATACTTCAACAAAGAAACGCTGCAGAAAGCGCATATTTACGCAACAGTTTATTGCTGTTTCAGACATGCCAACGATGAGTTTACGATAGTAGCCAATTCATTTCGGTATTCCCAAGTATATTCCAACAAGCTGTTCTTTGTCTCTATCGATTTTGACGAGGGATCTGATGTATTTCAGTTGGTGAGAAAAAAATATTCATAAAAATATGACATATAGATATACAATTTATGTGGAAACACATTTTCTCTCTCAGTAAAGTTTAATTTTCTTTATCCTTTATCTAAGGCCAGCGGACATGCAGTATTTAATTTCTTCTACTTATATTCTTTCCCTTAACCTTTCCTTACAGGGTCTCTTATGATAGCATTTCACACCGTCTAAATGACAAAATGTTGAATTAAATTTAAATTTCACATCATGATAGTTTCCAACAGACTCGTTAAAACATATTGTTGCAGATGAGGTTAAATACTGCGCCTGTGTACATGCACTTTCCACCGAAGGGCAAGCCAAAGCCTGCCGATACTATTGATATCCAGAGAGTAGGATTTGCCGCAGAAGCAATAGCAAAATGGATTAGTGAGCGTACAGATATTCAGGTAACGCAAAACTTTTGTAGCATTGTAATGCGGTTGTATTACATGTATTATGACGTAGCTATGTCACAATTGTACTGATATTTATGTATTTATGCTTTCATGACATCTTTTATTGTTAATTATAGATCAGGGTATTTAGACCACCAAATTATTCTGGCACAATAGCGGTAGTAATGCTGCTAGTTCTCATAGGAGGTTTTCTGTATCTCAGACGTAACAACTTGGACTTTATCTATAATAGGACCATTTGGGGACTCGGTGCTTTGGTATGTTTTCTTCGGACACTTTTATTGTAGCCTTCTGAACAAGTGAAATTATGTCATTCATTTGCAGTTCTTCGCATTAACTATGATTTCTGGACAAATGTGGAATCATATTAGGGGACCACCTTTCATTCACAAATCACAGAGTGGAAATGTAGCTTATATTCATGGATCTTCTCAAGGACAGTTTGTATTAGAAACCTATATTGTTATGGTTTTAAGTATCCTTTTGCCGTATTTAGAAATTATTTTACATGAAAAAAGAAGTCAGAGACATAGAAAACAGAATAATATTTCATGTATTATCCTTAATTTAATGTGAAAAAGATGGAGCAGTGGTGTTAGGTATGATTTTAATGACCGAAGCTGCAGCTCGTAAAGGTGATGTTAAGAAGCGTAGGATATTTGCTGTGATAGGCTTGGCGTTAGTTGCAATTTTCTTTAGTCTTCTCTTGTCAATATTCAGGAACAAAGCTCAAGGCTACCCATATAGGTACGTGTTTGAAATTTTATCTATAATAAATTAATATACACACAAGTATTTCTTATCCGAAGCATGATGATATTGTTGAAATTGTGAAAATCCAGCAAAATTTTAATAGTGTCATCATGCTTCGTGTTGGTACATTTATAAGAACATTTATCATCGTATTCCAGGGAGGAATAATTTTTGTGTTTCAGCTTACTGTTCAAATAACTAATTCATGTAGGAAAGTATTTTCACACGATCTCCATTAAAGAACCTGAGACCTTTGCAATTTGATGTGAAATTAGAGTCGAACTAGGAACATTTTTTTACGAACCAAGGATAAAATGTTATATTGTTACAAATTTATCTTAATTTTCATCTCTTTATTACAATGTATGTATGTAAAATAATCCATCTTTACAATGATTCTTCTTCAATAAAAAAAATAATAATATATCACAAAATATATAAACCAACACCGCAAGAATGAACAAAATACGATAGCAATTTTTTAACTGCTTTATATTTTTACGACTTATTATTTTTATATGTATAAATGCCCGTCCAAATACGGAGTCATAGATAGTATTCCGATATTCACTGTCAGTATTGGAAATTTATAGTTTATGTTACATACATTATGGATTTTCAACATTTGCAGTAAATATCGGAAATGTGGTTATATTGATTAGCTTTGAACATATAGATGATAAGTCGCTATGATTCGCTTTATAATCATTATAATATACGAAACTAGTCATTTGGTATATTTCTATATTTGATAATCTGCCCTACCAGATAAAAGGAATTAAAGTTTTTCTCTTTTTGGGGTAATCTTTGAAAGTTGTATGATACCACTGATGAGACAAATACGCGGCCTCAGCCTACAAAGAAGTCATTCATATTTTTGCTAATCCAGGAGAGAAAATAAAATAAATATGAAATTACTTACCTGATTCACTGCAACCCAAAAAGTGACGTAATGATAAGTAGAAGCTCGCCAGAGGATTAGAGATAACATGAAATACATCAGTATCTCTGTGAATTGCAACGGATTTGATATATATTCGAACAATCCATGAAATGGCACATTATGACTGTAAGACACAACAGCACCGTCTTTATTCTTACGCAGCTTCGCGAGAATAAAATTACTGTGAAGTTGCATATACGAGGCCCATAGAAATATGAACGCAGAAACAAGTGTGGTGATTGTCAATGGATTCCAGGGTCTATTCGTGTAAGAATCTGCATGAAAAAAATCATATATTGGGAACAAGAGAAAAGGATAGTATAATCAAAAGTTTGCAAATTTTCAAGACGTACCTCTAACAAATCCTTCGGATTCGCCTATCAAACATAGGAGTGTTCCTAAATAATGTATATATCCAATTAAATACGGGAACACATGTATTTTCTGATCGCTAAATATACTGACACAGGTTGTTTCGTACAGTCTTTTCCAACATTGTACGTATAATAAAATAATAGCTACGATTACGTTTTCTGCTGGTACTAAAAGAAATAAAATGTCAATCATTCATATGTCTATATTATTTACATTATTATAATTCTGAACACAGAATATTAATAATAGTGCTTTGATCAAAGAAAACAGCATACCTAAAGGTTTTCTGGATGCTCCAAATAATGTATCTAATAATATTAATATAACTTCAGGTATTTTCCCGTCATAGAAATGTTTATAAAATATGAAACAAAGTGTAACCGTCGATGCCGGCGCGGCGAAAATGTAAAAATGTTTAAACCATCTGAAAATTGAAAAATGTCAAGTTTTATTATCAAAACGTGAAAATACAAACTTTTGTTTCTTCATTTGTGATATGAAGTATCTTTGACGATCGTACATATAACTATATATTTTCATCTTTAAAAAACATATGTATTTAAATGTTAACTTACCTTTTGGGTACTTCGCACTTTGCCACTAAGGCATGATGAACTTTCGAACTATATTTGCCGTAACGATAAGGACGCGTCAACCATATCGGCAAATAAGGTTCCATGTAATTAATTAACAATCCCCATCCTCCCGTCACAACTGCGTTGAAAATGAAAAGATAACGTATGATGTTTATTTGCATTTCTCAATCTTTCCTGTAACGTTCGGAAGCCGACTGAACAGTACAAAGTAAAGCGTGTTTCAGTGTATAGCTTTCTCCACGATCTAGGTCACTGGAATGAAACAGAATTTCCTTCAGCGAATATTCATATCTTTGCGTCGCAGCATGAAAACATTTCCTTATCGTGACCATTTATTCAAAATGTTGCACAACGTATAAAAATATTCTTTTCAGAAACAATGTATACGTACAACAAAACAAATTAATTGTCTGTAATCTACATTTACTAAAATTTATGAACATTCTCTAAGCAAACGAGATTTATAAGCGTGAAATATGTTGCACCACTACCAAGAATTCATCTTACACGTACATGTAATGATATAACTCTTTACTTTTATGTGACAACATAGCGGTCTGTTACCGAAAATTTATAATATACCTGAACTATAGATTTTCAATATTGGCAGTCGCAATGTAAGTTTAACCCTTTCGCTCCGACGGGCGTATATATACGCCCTCGAAAAATGACCATTCATATACGAAGAGCATATATATACGCTCTGGAAAAGTGAGCGCTGAGGTACGAAGAGCGTACATATACGTTCATACCATATATATTTTTATTTCATACTTTACATGAGATACTTTTGTTAATCGAGTATCTGGCAACGCTGCATGCCTCAAACAGTTGACTATCATGAAATAAAACACCACCGACAAGAAAAAATAAATTAAATTATTAATTAATAATAAATTAAATTATTATTAAATTAAAAAAATAAATTATGATTATAAATTTTTATATTTTAGAAAGTAAAATGATATTACTAAATATAATAAATATCATTGTAAAATTTAGAGAACAAGAAACGACTTCTACTTCGTAGCATTCTGTACCTCAGTGTCAACTACTCAGTAATGCGCTCCGTTCACAGCGATCACATTTTTTCACAAGCGCTCCGTAGCGAAAAGGTTAAGGCTCTTATACCTCTATTTTATAGCTTTTAGCGACAGTATTGTTATCATTACGTTGCTGATGCACCGCTTCATTATCATATGATTTATCTGCGCTACGATAACGTAACGATAACATTCTGCCGTTAAAAATTACAAAATAAGCCTATCGATTCTTCACTGCAATCATCTGTGTTTAATTTTCTAATGGTAAGGTTGGGGTCGGGTCCAACCTTATACCCTGTTTTGCTCATTTTTCATCTGATTAATATACAAAATGGGTAAAAGAAGCAAATAATAACATGAAATTACTTTCTCTGTTTATAGATGAAAAATACAATAAAGTTTACGAACCAACTTTAAATAATTACAAACGCAGTAAAATACCATGAAAAGCGTATGAATGGGAAATTATAACTGATGTTATAATTGTTGTTGTAAATATGTTATGTAATAATAATTATAATTGATGTTGTGTCATTATTAGTCGGTGTTGGCTAGGTTCTATGAGTATACAAATATTCTTAAGAAAAATACTCACAGAGTACTCATAAAGTATTCCAATGCTATATCTAGGATATCGGGAAAGAAATAGCATAATCAGCTCTCACTTTGAGCCAAATTATATAATGTAGGCAACACGTGTTACAGTAAAGATAATTTATTATCTGAAAAATATTTGTAGTGTGTCTATATGTATGTGCAAACAGTTTGAGTATAGTATTTAAAAATAAGGAACAAGTGATTTAATACTAATTTCACAAGTGTAAAGAAATAAAGTGGAATTAATATAATCTCGATCACTCGCGTCGCACAGATACGATTGCACGGTTCAATTAGGACGGTATCATCTGAGTGTAGTGTGTCGACCCGGATCACTCATATCGGTGAAGTGTTAAATTTATCGTACGCGCGAACCTCTATTCGAAAAACCAAACTGTCGTGTTGCACGAAATCCATCACGTCGTTCAAGCGCACGAATTCGATGTAACCGAAGCTACGTTTATTCAATTCGCATGTTGGCCTGCGAAACGCCTCGAGATCCGGCCTTGACAATGTCATTTCGCGTATGTTCTTCCCGGAATCACGCGGATGTACCAACACGAAGCACATCGTGCCGTTGAACGGCCAATCGAGGGCGTCGTCGTTCTCCGACTTCATAATATGCAAGAGCAATGAGAGATAATTCGAGTCCCTGGAGGACACGTTGATCCTAGCGCAGATCTTATATCCGTTCGAACTCGTGTAAAAGCCGGGACTGTAAAACATCTTTAGAGGATCGCTCATCATGGTCGTGAGTTTCTCTTGGAAGGACTTCAACCTCCACACGTAAACCCCGTTGCAATTTCGTAAGCACGTCTCTTCCTGATTAAAGCTGATCGACGTTTGCAGTGCAGTTAATTGCTTTTTCTGATTAGAAACCGTTATAATGAGCTCGCGATTTTCCTGCTCTAAAATCACTAATCTTTCGTACAGGTTTCTGAAAATAGAATTCCGTGTCAATCCTTGTCTCGACAAGTATTCCGGCATAATTTGGAATAGGCGGTATACTTCATCAACAGTTCCCAATTAGGAGGGGGTCCTTCCCTTTCGGAAACCTGCGTCTCTTTCTTGGGAGGTGGGTCCCACAATTTCGACTCCGCTGACATAGCAGTGGTGGTACCTGCTATATACAGCAATCGTAAGGGTACATTCAATGAAGGGTACAGATCATTCATATCTTCGATCGTATGAAGAAAATATACCTTGAGACTCGGAAAGATTTCTCTTATAAGTGCACTGACTAATGTGCGTTTCCATGTCCACAGGTGACAATCCCACTTGACAGCCGAATTGCTGATAGGGACAGTTCGTACGTTGCTGGGATATCTCCCTGCTGGTGTAAAGATCTCTGAAGAGATCATTTTCAGACTTCAACGGTCGACTGTCGACAGGGCAACAAGCACCGTTCTTCCTGACAATCAATATGAACGATTTAATGCTTAATGTGCTACGATGGGACGTCGACTAAAATAAAAGGTGAGACTTACTGAAGCCAAGTGTATATGCACTGTGAACAGAACTTATGTCCGCAGGATGTTAAAACCGGATCGCGTAGCCATGTTAGACAAATGGGACACTCGAATCTAGGCTCTAGGTTCTCGCTTTCACCACACTGCGCGCAACGAAATTGCAAATGGATTTACAAGTCCGACAGTCAGTCCGATTAGTACGAAACTCAAAGCGAATGCTGAGTCGTGCAAGAGTGTGAGTGTTAATGGTGGAAATTAGTTTTGTCGCGTCAAATGACAAAGTCAAGATCTCTCGATCGACACAAATCGCACACAGACGAGGAATACTCACATTTCCATTCTCCTCGGCGGCCTTAGCAGACACAGTCGCGCTGCTCGGTTCTTCCATAATCTACAATAACGGCCATTGTTAAACCATCGATATGCACCAAGTGTCGAACAGTCGGACGATTATAATTTGAAAGTATGACTCACCATGGACGTATGATGATCATGATCTGGATGACGTAATTACGCGCGATGAGTCATTTTCTCGTCGCGTACATACAAAGGATACGAATTCTTGTAGAATTGTTAACTTCTTACCATGTGGCCTCGTGATGAAGACAGCGAGACCAATCGTCGTCTCGCGTACAAGAGCCGAGAAACGTTAAAGATCCTACAGATGATGATGAGAGACGATAATTCCGAGTGAAAAATCGGGGCAATAGTTGTTCATTAAGTAAGATCTATTTGAATTTCGTGGCTTCTGTTACAACATTCTTTTCGTTTCTCTGTCTATAGGTTTCACACGTTCTAATTTGGCAAAAGAAGAAAGCGTCACAGAACAATAGAACGCTTGAAAGGGGGTCGTAAGAATACGAGAGGAAAATAAGAGTGGATATAAATGACGAGCGATACCACACATGTGTCTCTATTCTCATTGTATGAACATGTGTGTGGTATCGCTCGTAATTTATATCCACTCTTATTTTCCTCTCGTATGCTTAAGACCCCCTTTCAGAACGTACCTCTCCCTTTGCTACTTTCCTTCCAATCATATTATAGCCCACTTCCCTGAAAACGTTTAAAAATAGCCGATTTCACATGGTCAGATATATAAACTGTCAAGTTCCTGCTCGTGACGCTGCCATGTCCGCTATAAGTAAAATAGTAAAGTACACCGCGCGTGTCATCTGTTGTAACAATGTGATAGTAATGCAGGAACTTCGTTACCTTTATATGGCAAAGAGGATGTTGCCATACCATGAGAGTTTTGCCGCCGCTTTTGAAGAAGAGACTAATTTGTATGTTTATTTTACTGTTCAAATAACTTATTCATGTAGAAAAAGATTTTCACACGACCCAAGCAAAACAAAGTACCATATAAAAATCAAAATGATGTTAAAATGATATAATTGTTCTTGACTTTATCTCCCTTTTTGTCCTTGTCCTTTATATCTTGACTATTATATAACTCTTTGTTCTTGACTTTTATATGACTCTTTCTTCTTGGCTTCTATATGACTTTTTGTTTTACTTGGATATTAAACAACAAGAGACAATTGCAGTTTGCAATTTGATGTGAAATAAGAATCGAACTAGGATTTTTATAAACCAAGGACAAAATATATTGTTATAAATATATCATAATTTTCTTTTTATCACGATGTATGTAACATAAAATACAATCCATATTTTATTGACAACTTATTATTTTTATGTATATGAATGTGCAGCAATATCGAATCATATCGATTATTCTCAAATATACAATATGATTAGTTTTGCTTTCTATTTGTCTTTCTATTGCCTTTATTCTTATCTCTTTCTATTCTCATTGTATAAATTTAGTCGTATGGTCTATATCTATTACTCTACCAGACATAAGGAATTAAAATTTTTCTCTTCTTGGGATAATCTTTAAAATTGTTATGATACCACTGGTGAGACAAATACGCGGCCTCAGCCTACAAAGAAGTCATTCATATTTTTGCTAATCCAGGAGAGAAAATAAAATAAATATGAAATTACTTACCTGATTCACTGCAACCCAAAAAGTGACGTAATGATAAGTAGAAGCTCGCCAGAGGATTAGAGATAACATGAAATACATCAGTATCTCTGTGAATTGCAACGGATTTGATATATATTCGAACAATCCATGAAATGGCACATTATGACTGTAAGACACAACAGCACCGTCTTTATTCTTACGCAGCTTTGCGAGAATAAAATTACTGTGAAGCTGTATATACGAGGCCCATAGAAATATGAACGCAGAAACAAGTGTGGTGATTGTCAATGGATTCCAGCGTCTATTCGTGTAAGAATCTGCACGAAAAAATTATATATTGTGAACAAGAGAATAGGATTGTGTAATCAAAAGTTTGTAAATTTTCAAAGATGTACCTCTAACAAATCCCTCGGATTCGCCCAAGAAACACAAAAGCGTTCCCAAATAATGTATATATGCAAGTAAATAATGGACCACATTTATTTTCTGATCGCTAAATATGTTGACATAAGTTGATTCATACAGTCGTCTCCAACAATGTATGTTATATAAAATAATAGCTACAATTACATTTTCTGCTGGTACTAAAAGAAATAAAATGTCAATCATTCATATATTCATATAATTCCATAGAGATTTTTAATGAAAGTTTTAATGATAGTTTAATAATAGTTTTGATCAAAGAAAACAACATACCTAAAGGTTTTCTGGACGCTCCAAATAATGTATCTAATAATGTTAATAAAATTTCGGCTATTTTCCCGTTATAAAAATACTTATAGAGTAGCAAACAAAGTATAACCGTCGATCCTGGTGCAGCGAAAATGTAAAAGTGTTTAAACCATCTAAAATTGAAATTTTCAAGTTTTATTATAAAAAAAAAAACAAATTTTATTATAAAAAAATATGAACTTTTGTTTTTTCACTTGTGATATAAGAAATACTTTTAACTATTACACTTAATTGTATATATTTCTGCCTTTAAAGAATACATTTATTTAAATTTCAACTTACTTTTTAGGTAGTTCATATTTCGCCACTGTGGCGTGATGAACTTTCGCTTTGATTTTGCCATAAAGATAAGTGCGTATCAACCATATAGGCAAATAAGGTTCCATATAATTGATGAACAATCCCAATCCTCCTACAATAGCCGCATTGAAAATGAAAAGGCAGACTATGATGTTCATTTTTATTTCTCGGTCTTTCTTCTAATGTTTGTCGGTAGACTAAACGTACAGGTACAGAATAAAGTGAATTCCACTGTACAGCTTTCCTCACGATCCAGGCCACTGCAATGAAGCAGATAAATTTCTTTCTAAAAAACTCTTTTTTTCAATTAATATTTAAGCGTATTTTTGGGCGAGCAGTCATAGCAGGAAAATATTTTCTTATCGTAACTATTTATTCATCCTGTTGCACAATGTATAGAAATATTGTTTTTATTTTTAGATTTCAACAGTCGATTATTGACAGGGCAACAAGCACCGTTCTTCCTGATAATCATCATGTATGATATAAGGCTTATATAATAACGATAGATATCGATTAGACTAAATGAGACTTACCGAAGTTAAATGTATATGCGTTGTGAACAGAACTTATATTCACAGGGTGTCAAAACCGGATTACGTAGCCGTGTTGTTAGATAAATGGTATACTTGAATTAGCTCTAGATTCTCACTTCCAACATACTGCGCGCAATGATATTGCGGTTGTGGCAATCTTTATCTTTATCTTAATCAGCCATCTGCGCCTTTCCTTATCAAGCACGAAAAAATGCAAACTCTGACAGAACTGCTAACTTCTTACTGCTTGATCTTGTACTAAAGAGAGATTCCACGACTAATCGTCGTCTTGCGCAAGAGTCCAAAAAAGTAAAAGATTCAACGCAGATGATAATGAAAGGCGATAGCTCCGAGAAGGAAACCGAGGAAAAAGATTGACTGAATTCACTTATCTAAGTTTCAACTAAAAATAGTTTTGACAAAAATAAATATTTAGTTCTCTTTCATTTTTGGTCGAAATTGAAACTGTAGCTGAAACTTTAATGGAAGTTTAATGGAAGTTTGAAAAAGTTAAAAGGGAAGATGGGAAATTAATTTTATGATAAAAACATATATTTATAACGGTATTTTATTTAAACATATATTTATAATGGTATTTTATTTAATTATAATGTATGTACGTGCGTGCGTGTACGTATATGTTTTTGGTATGTGTGTATGTGTTACTTTATTAAATTTTATTAAACATATCGTTGAAGATTTCGGCCTTCAATAATAGATACAACAAAAAGCGAAAATTAGAAAACAATAATCTTTATAAAAAAAATACTTTTGGAAACTTATGATTACATAAGTTTTCACACACTTACGATTATATATTTATATTTTAGTTATATTGAAAAATATTAATACTCACATAGCATCAAAGCTAACTTTAGTATTGTTGCAATGTTAGCAAAATTGCAACAACATTGCTGCAATGTTGCAATGTTACAGCAATGTTACTGCAAGCTTATCTGTGCTATACAGGTAATCATAATTGAACAATATTTTTTGAAAACTTATGATTACATACATTTTTATGAAATGAAACATGCTTTATGGTAAAGCAAAGGGAGTTTCCGTATTTTGCGGCAGTCGTCTCATCGACGTGTCACGACTTAATCAGTTTTGGTTTTCTACGCCGAAATTTTTTCTCCAATTTCGACCGAATCCGAAACTAAACCGCAACCTTTATTTTGTGCCGAAAATAACCGTAAATGAAACCGAAATTTCGGTCGGACAGTATAGCAAAGTGTACCGCGCATGTCATCTGTTGCGACAATGTAACAGAAAACTTTACAGAAAACTTTATTATCTTCGTATGAAAAAAAGGATGTTGCGTTACCACGAGAGTTTTACTACCGTTTTCGAAGAAGCGATATGCAAATGATTTTCTTGTAAACAAGAAAGAAATATTGCATATTATTAAAGTTGCTCTATCACGTGAGGTAACCGTATGAAAATGGTTTGGTACATGTGTACCGTATGAAAATGGTTTGGTACATGTGTTATCGAACGTATCGTCTATTGTTATGAAATTATTATCATGCAAAGATCTGTTGATTCCGTGATACATCGCGATTTCCACTGCGAGTATTACCGTTACGGTTACCGTAACAGAACTACAAGTACTGGTTCAACCCTTATTTAGATTCTACAAGCGGTCGCGGTCTAATCCATATTACGTTTAATCTATAAATTATGTAAAATAAAGACCCAATTATTCAAAGGAATATTAATTCTTTCGAAACGAATGCTTGACACGAATTCTTCTCAAATTATTTAAAATATAATTATAAATAAGGAATTTCGCGTTTACATATACGTGTGTGTGTGTGTGTATGTGTGTGTATGTGTGTGTGTGTGTGTGTGTGTGTGATATAATATGATGATGCACAATGACGCGTGCATTTCCAATTTTATAGTAACATGCTCGATTATTATATACGAAATGTTCAGATATCGTCTTTCGAAAGAAAAAAAAGAAAGAACACGGACAATCCCGTTTCCTGCTTCCGTTCGTCGCAATAACTCACTCTTATTCTCGAAGCGAACGAACGGAGACCCCGGCTACGATCGTAATGATAGCGTTATGTCAAGCGAGCGGGCATGCCACGATGGTAACGAGCATTTCTCGATTTTACTACAAAATTCACAATATCGTATCAGTCGACTTTCCATTATCAACCTGGCTGTAAGAACGTGCGCGGATTAGTCAATTTAAAAGTGGCGCTTTCGATAAACCAGACGAGGTTCCGATTAAATCCGGCGATGCAACGCCGGTAATCCGACTATTTTGCATGTCATTAGAGCGACGCGGATACGAACGGCGCGTAAACGTTTCCCTGATCGACGTAAATTGTAATAATAATAATAAGCTAATAATGCGCGCTCGACGTCAAACGAGTTATGTTAAAATTTCAATATCGCCTGTCGACAATTTGCTTTTCCAATATCCAAGGCGAGATCAAATCGTGCGCCGCCTCAGTTCCGCGTTCCTCGCGCGACGCACTGAATCTTCAGCTTTATATAAGCCGAGTCCCGCTATGCGAATAAAAGCGTTTTTATAGGTGGTAAAAATCAGAAAAAGAGGAGAGGAAGTTGTTTCTGCCCTCTCCCACTCCACCGAATAATATATTTCGTCTACTCGGAGAAAGTGCACGATACATTCTCGTTGCGTCTCGCGGAGTGAACACGTTCCTCCTGCGACGGAGATTCGGGATATCGTCGGCTTCATTCGGCCGAAATGAATTCTCCCGCGACGGAAGATTGTTTTCCGATAAACCGGTCGCGGTCACTTTCGCACATACGTAGAAAGTGCCGTTTGATCTCGCACAAATTGACGATCATCGACGTGATCGTCGTCGCGGCGCGCGCTCTCGACGCGAGCTCTCGACGCTTCAACTGCGCGTCTAATGATGCAAGTATGTGGTTCAACATCTCCGTTTTTTTCGGCATCTCTAACGACGTATGGACATCGCGGAGATAGGAAAGGAGAGGCGGGTAGTTGTATATATAATATCACGTAACATCGCGATACGTGTTTATCGCGAGGAGCGAACACCGTCGTCGAGAGCGGAAGCAGCGAAACGCGAGAAAGACGAGCGGGAACGTCGCCGTCGTCGTTTCATTGCCGATGGAGACCCGCGTTCAAATCGAACAAGTCGCCGGTTTTTCATCGGCGATCCCCTGTTCGCATCTGAACAAGCAGTATCGCGACAGGTAAGCAACCGATCGAGAGCGAAGCAAGCGGGATCGCTCGCTTCTTTTCACGGCCGCCCGCTGGCCGTGATACGAACTTTACGAGTCCCCGGTTGTGATTGAACGAGCCTCGCGTGGGTGCGAAAGTGCGAGAGTATGAGCGGACTCGAGCTAGCGGGCTCGCTGATTATGCACTGCCACCGCAACTGCAATTAAAATATTATCCGCGGCGGTTGCAGGACTTCTTCGCTCCCGCTTTCGCGGCAGCGGACCCACTTCGGCTAGCTCAGTTCTCAAAGTTACAATAGGGAGTCGAACCCCTCGCTATTCCGCGTGGTAAAACGTCGTGGTTCTTACATGTTCTTCCTCGATTTCGCGGACACGCCGGAGAGAAGCCGGGAGAGATAAGGAATTAGGGTCCGGTTTAACATTTAAATAACAATGCTTTAATTTGATTACTTTTCTTTACACGCACCTGATAACCGACACCCCAGGCAGATCCCGTACGCAATTAACAGAGAGCGATCTCTCGCCTGCGATGTTTCGCGAGATGCTGAGGCGGTGGATCTCCGGATGGCAGTTATAATACGCGCGTCGCTTTACAACCGAAAAGCTCTCTTGCCCGTTACGCGAATCTCGCCGAGTTTTCCACTGGGCGCCAGCCGGCTCCTTCCCGATAGTAATTACTGCTTCTAGCCGATCATGTACTATCCCCGACTTAGTTCGCTCGCCAGAAGCGGTTTTCTAAAAGCAACTTCGCTATTCACTAATGCGACTCGTAATAAAAGACATGTGTTACCGACATTTAATCTACGAGGACCGGCAGAGAAGGCAGTCTCGCGCCCGAGTCTCCGAGATTCCTACGCTCGAGGCGTACTCGCGTTCCTACTCTCTCTTTCGAGCACGGCTCTCGTTGCCTCGCAACGTGGCCTTCAAATCTCGCACGTCTCGATCTTCCGGGCGCGACGGATCTTAAGCGAACCAAAAATTCCCGGTATATTCCTCTCGCAGATGCCACCGAGAAGCGACGGCATTACCACGCAACTCTAACTTATTTTACCCGCGGCTGTATATAGTTCTCGCTCACCCACTCGCCTCTCCTCCTCGAGATCTCGTCCCTCTGGTCCGGTAGCTTTGCTCACTTTCACTACCGCACCGGCACGTCTATTCTGCTCGCCGTCAGGCCGCACAATGACGAGCAAGGCTCGTATCAAAAGTGCTCGCGGGAGCCTCACGTCTGGAGTTGTTACTTCGTCGTTTACTTGTCCTCGTTTTTTCTCAGGACGACATTAGGCAATTATTGGGCTCGCAGCAGTTCGAGAAGATAACCCCGGGGTCCTCCTTCCCATAATCTGCGACCAGGTCACGGAGCCTTGCGCCTTTCTTAGCACAAGGCGGCCGTCCCCGCCGTCCGTCCGGGAAAGGGAGTTCTCCCCGTCCTTCCGCGTCTCGCTTTAGCCGCTCCTTCCGAATACCTGCTCTTGTACGTCCTCGGCTCGTGTCTCGTGCACCGTCTTGCGCACGAGACAAAAATCATATTATTCGGTCTCCTTCTCTTATGAGAAGGCGCGAGTTGCCGGCTCATCCTCGGCCAGGCCACAGGCCTGAGTGACGAGCAAAAATTTGCGTCGTCACAGCACACAAAAAAATGTCAGATTCAAGAAAACAATTAATTCAATACTTCTTAGCAAATATTTTTACTCGGATAAAGTAATATTTACTTGGTCCGAATGAAATATTTTCCAAGCAAAATTATCCGAGTGAAACGTTTACTTGATCCAAATGAAAATTTGCTAAGGAATATCGGAGTAACTTGAAATCTAGCACTTCTTTTTCTGTGTACCACAGGCGCAAATGAATCATCGGCGATCTGATTTGGCACCCAGCAGACACTTACAGCTGTTAACTTGAATAGCATATATAACGTTCTGGGAAAAAATCTTCCATATATAATTAGACGTAATTATATATGAAGTGGTGATACAGAGAAAGAGAGTTATATATGATGATATGATTATATATAAATATATATAAGATGAGTTATATATAATTATATATTTTTATGTACACGGGGACATATTCTGTATATAATTATATATGAGAAATTATTTCCCGTGGTATATGTCGCAATAGTTATGTTACAGTTTTGTAATTATCGTTGAACGAGCGTCATGTGGATGCGAAAGTGCGAGAAAGTTGAGAGTGGACGCGCGTCTGACGGTCAAGTTCGAGCGGATTCGAATCGGCGGGCTTGTCAATTACGTCGCAGATGCGAGTGCACGTTGCGATTATGATAAAAGTGAGCTCGATATTGGATCTACCATGCAATAAAT